GTGCGCGTTAACCTTTCCCTTCCACCCCCCCGCTTTCGCCTAGGAAGCGCGAGGAGCAGCTCCGGACCTCCCTCCTGCGCCCCTGTCTCGGGGGTAGGTCCTCCTTTCAATCAAAACCAACAACATTGAAGGAGGAAGTTTGCGAAACTGCAGCGAAGAGGAAACGAGTGAAGCAAGCCTAAGGCTTGCGATGGGCAAGGAGCCAAGGGGGTTTATTTGAGGTCTAACGCAAACGCGCTGCTTCGTTCAAATTTTCAAAATAGTCTTTATTCTACTTTTTTAGTATAAAAAAATCCACAAGTTAAGTGCACCACAGTGTATACAGAGAGAGACGTAATGCTGAACTTTCATAACAGTCAGTTGTATGGTTAAACACAACATATACAAGACACAGATTTAGAGTAAACTGAAACCTCAAGATAAAATATATTTGAATCTGATATTTTTCTTCATAAAACAAAACAAAACCAAAAAAAAAAAAACCCAAAACATTGAGGATCCCTGAAATATTCTTCTTACCCCTAATAAGACTTCATTATACCCAAGTCATTTTTAAAGTATGCATTCATAAAACAACCCATTAACCAAGCTAATTTGTGTGTTGATTGACAGTTGCTACACACCCTCATACAGATGGTAACCAGCCTCTCTGTTTGCACAATAGCCTTAAGGAGTTTTGGTGTCAAGACACCAGGTTGAGTTTTTTTTTTTTTAAAAAAAAAAAGTTTGTTTATTAAGCATCGCTCTAAAAGCCTAGTTAGCATTTAATGAAATGTTCAAACATGAGTTGCATTGTGTTTCTGGCACCAAAGCATGGCTTTGATTAGATCTAATGTGCAAAGAAATCCAAGATTACTTGGAGCGTATTTAAAAAAAAAAAAAAAATCCCATGATACACGCTAGCTGCATACCTTCCTGGAGGAAAACGAAGGACGAATGTGAGCACGGAGAGTGCTTCAAGGGATCCGCTCTAGAGTGAGGGCAGGAAGAAAGAAGCGCCAAGGTGCCCCCCACCCCTGCTGCGCGGCTCCCCGGGAAGGGAAGGTCGCCTAGCTTTCTATCCAGCACCTTTGCTTCCAAGGAAGGGGAAACCCAAAACCCAAATGTTTTGTGGATCTCAGCCTGGCAGGCAGTGAACAAATACGAGCTTGAAGAGAAGGAGCCGCTCTCGGAAACCGGATTCGCTCCCCTCGCCCTCCCCAAAGCCAGTGTATAGATAGCCGATTACTAAAAGCTCAGAGACGTGGCTGCAGTATCACTCCAGTGAAATGAAAGGAAGAGGCAGGGCTGCTTAGCTCACGTTCGTTTCATGAATTAATCTCCCTTCCCCGCTTTAACAGAGGCGCCACTATCATTACAGGGTTTCTTGTTTCGCTTTAAAGTGCCTGAAGGGCCGGGCACCGAACCAGGAAGACACCTCACGGCCGTGTGTCTAATCTGCAACTTCAGGTTAATATGGACTAAAGCAGTTACATTGTGAGAAGTGCTGACAGTATGTGATGTCTTTCCTTACACAAATGTAGCCCCCCCTTTTTCCCCCTCCCCTTCCTTCTTCACCAGATAGTGTAGCCGCCATCTGAGCCTCCCAGGAAGAAGTTTCCCTTCCGTTGCGTCACCAGGACGTTGGCTCCCTGCATTACGGCCAGCTGGGCGGCGTTGGGGGGGCAGCCAGGAGGGGGGGGCTGGAAGACAAGAGAAAGGACAGGCGGGAGGATGACTGAGTCGGCGCCACGACGGAAACTCGGCCCGCCGCACGACCCACCTGGGATTACAGCCAACGAGAAACCTCCCAGTACCTGTCTCTCGCTGCCCAACGAAGATTAGCAATAAGAGGCCGAGAGCGGATGGGAAACGCTCGGTTCCGCTTCCCTGCCCCTCTCTTTTCAGAGCCCGCAGCCCACGAAGCACGTACAGCTAACCCGGCTCTCTGCCTGCGAGCTGCGGAACGAGCTCTCCACGTGGCCGCGAGCCACAAGCGGGAAGTCCAGGGGAGCAGGAACCTCCTGCAGCTCCGCTGCAGCACGGAGCAAGGCCAGGTTCGCAAGCGGGGCAAGGGAAAGCCAGGGCGCTCAGCAGCCCCATGGCTTGCCTCCCACCGACGCACACTACGCCGTGGCCTCCAGGCCAAAGTGGGGCTAGCATTGGCCACGTGATGGTTTTGCTGCAAGCCAGAGGCACCTGAGAGCCTACATGGCTCCAGAGCCATAGGTTGGCCGCTCTCAACTAAGAGGAGTTGTGCAGAGACAGCAAAAACTCATCGTCCTTCTTCCAACGCGTAAGTAGCCACTGTGCTCCCAAACGATCAGTCAGGTATGAAATATGTTTTGCTCAGAAATCGGGGCATTTCTTCTCCCCTACTACTGTCTGTGAACCTCTAAAACTGAAGCACGCAGGGCTTTGAGGATACATTTATACTTACAGGGATGCTGGCTGTTCCACCAGCCCCAAACCTTGCTCCAGCATCAAAGCCGCCTTCAACGAGGACTGTGGAGCCTGGAGGATAAACAGGTCCCACGGGGTAATACGCCATGGGGACTGAAGAGCCTAGCGGACCCACGGCCACCGACTGGGCCATGGGTAGGAACACCGAAGTGCCCGGATACGCCGCAGACATTGTAGGTACGGTGGCAGCCCCCAGAGGCACGAAGCTGGGACGATAAAGCTGGGGAAAAAACCCAATGCAAACAAGTTTAGAGATTTGTTATTCCCCGCACCCGTTTGTTCATTCAGGCTTGCTTTCAAAGCGCTAGCACTGAGGCAGGCTTGCACCCTTCTGCTCGCACAAAGGACTCCCCTTCCCCGAATATTTAATCTTCTGTACCCTAAGAGGACATTTTTCCCACTGTTGCTCCTTGGAGAAAAGTTTTCCCCCGCTGTCTGCAAGAATCCAACTAAGACAAGTTAACTTAGATGTATTTTAAATCTACAGGTTGGCTAAATTTGTCATCTTAACTCAAGGGGAAGCTGAACAGTGTTTGTCGCTTCAAGTGGATGATTCGGGTCTCATGCGAGAGACTGTGGGGACCGACTGCTGCCCAGCGATACGAACAGCAAACAAATCTTCCAGGCTAAGAAAATCCCTGCAGCTAAAAACCTCCTGGAAGAGTTTTCTCTTTTGGAGGGGCCCCAGAATAAAATAAACCTTAGGAGAAGGATCCTGCGTACCTCAGAATAAGCAGGAGGTGCGTCCGTGTATGGCGGCGGCTGAGGAAGGGCCATAGTCTGTGGGTACACGGGAGGATTGCCCGGAGACTGGACCGGGTAGGACGGCTGGGTGGGATATTGTCCTGCAAGGAAGAAAAGAATTCAGCCAGAGTCAGAAAACGCTCTGCGAAGCTGGGCAGGAAACTGCTGAGTTTGCGGAAAGCCCCTCTTTTCAATTCTCACGTGAGCAGAGTAACGGATCTAGGAGCGTCTGCACACAATGAATTAGAGGCGTTTCAGTCGGGGCCTAATAGCCAAACGGAGAGTGAAAATCCTTTCCAGGAATCAGGCTCCCGAAAAGGGCAGGAAGCCTGGCGAAGGGAGTCAACCCAACGGCGTCGTCCCCGGTCGCCGCTCGCGCTCGGACTCGCGAACTCTCCAGTCGACTCGCAGCCTCAGATTTGGGGCGATGCGGGAACGACACCGCCCTGAGATCGGGTTTCTCTTTGAAGCTCCTAGCGCGTCGCCACCAGCGAGGCTTCCAGGGAGCATCTCTTGGCGATCTTAACGTTTTATAACGCAAGACCCGTCCCTCCGTCTGCCTCCCATCCCGAGAAACAAGTGCTGCGTTTGGCTCGTACTGAAGAGAAAGGGTGCAACGCGCTTTGTACTGCCAGCAAAACAAACCAGATCTGACGCGGAGACGATACCTGCCACCCCTGGGCCTTTTAAGCTGGAGCAGAACAAAGATCATGTCTCCGTGACATGTCTTTCACCTGCCAACCTAAGCGGTTTCAGAACAGAGTTAATCTTTAAGTGAAGACTGTTAGGGAATTGCATTTAATTGCTCTGTCGCATCCGGAGGTTGCCAACACGGTTCAAAGAGCAACTGGTGCTACGGTCCGAGCTCCGAAGGCGTTCTTCTCCCCAAGCCGGCACAGCGGTTGGGAGCGAAAAAAACAAACAAACAAACAAAAAAGCAAAAAAAAAAAACCCCCTGTGCGTGCGTTTGGGTGCAGGGAGGGAGGAAGGGGCGAGCGGGGAGCTTTGCCGTGGCACCGTCAGGCCAGGGCCGAAGCGCGGCCCTGCGGACATCTCGGCTCCCTCGCAGGAGCGGAGACTTGGAAGGCGCCTCGGGAGCGTGAGTCAGGT